CAACACATAAGCACTACCACCACCAAACAATCCTGGGTTGGGGTAGTTCCTTATATTTTCTAAAATTACTAAATCAAAACTATGATCATATTTATGGCTCTAGGGTTGGCTCACAATATAAATGTTGTTGTTAAGTGCCATCCAGGCATTGTAACTCACACTGACCCTGTCTAGGGTTTCTGGGGAGCAAGTGGTAGATTTGAACCACTGACCTTGTGGTTCAAACTGACCTTCCAGTCCAGTGCATTATCCTGTAGCACCACACAAAATATAATTACTGCATATTAAAAAAATAATTGATGCATATGAAATAAAATACTGAACACTTTACATTGACTCAAGACATGAAAAATACTTCGATATTGTTTATCTTTAATCTAACTGAAATAAACAAGAATAACTCATGAGGTAAAAATGTTATGTAACAACAAAATTTTTTAATTATTACTTGTTCACAATTCCTTCTGTGTTTATGGAAATTTTATTTAGTGCTAATATTTCCTATCAAGTTTTTATTCAAAATTCTAAAAACAGGAAAAGAGAAACTGACAAAGCCTACAGGCCCTCAAAATACTCAGGTAAAATAATTTGCTTTATTATGGGTCAAAACATACATCTATCAGCAGCAGTAATAAACAGTCGCACAAGCTGGCTTTCCTTACATGTGTTCTAAGAGACACACATGGTACAGTCAGGCATCAGACACTGACCCATAGTGTGAACTAACCCTCAGAATTACAGATGTGTCATAAAAGAAGTTTAGTTGGATTTCTAAGAATCTTCTCTGACTTGAGGAGATCTAAACTTTTAGATACTCTGCAGAATGTAGATACTATAATGACTATACCATAATAATCTACCATGAGACCTTCATTCTTAGAAACTAGCTATTCAAAAATCTAAATAGTTTACTTACACAAAGAAAACTTTTTTTAAAAAGCATTTTTTAATTTTAAAATCATTAGCAAACCACTCATTCTATACATCAGACTTTATATTTGAAGTTATAAGCAACATACTGCTGTTGCTGCTGTGTGTAGTTGAACAGGTTCCTACTCACAGTGACCCTGTATAGGGTTTCTGAGGTGTTACATCTTTACAGGAGCAGAAAATCTCACCTTTCTCTTTCTCCAGAGCAGTTGGTGGGTTTGAACTGCTGATCTTGCAGTTAACAGTCCAACTGGTAACCCAATACACTACTCGGGTTCCTACAACCAGTATTTTGTTGTTGTTAAGTGCTGTGGAGTCGGTTCTGACTCTTAACGATGCTGCACACGGTATTCAGAGGAGCAGCTGGTGGGTTTGAACCACTGACCTTGTGATTAGCATCCAATGTTTAGCAGGCAGTGCCACATCAGGACCTCATAGGAAACCATTTTTCAAATCTATATTAACAACTAGGGATACTTCTTTGAGTTATAAATATTCCTTGCTTGAGGACAGATTTATCTATGTTAATTAAGCATCTCAATGAAAATTAACATCTGTCCTTACCATCTGGATCCACCTCTCTTGAAATTTTCAGGGCCTCTGACGTTGCCATATCTGTATTAGCAGCAGTTACAGCGAGGATGATGGAATTTGGATTACTGATAAAGCGAAGAATGAGCTCTCTGATTTGTAGTTCAATATCCTTAGGTTGATCACCTACAGGCACCTAGAGATGAGAAAGGAACTAATAATAAAAATCAACCTTTATTTTTTTTCATATCACAGAATATATACATTACTTCATTTTACAGATAGTGAAAAAGAAGAAACTATATATACAGTGTTATTTATTATTTTTGCATTATGCAAAAGTCTCATACTATAACCCTTACAAATATTAAAAGGCTATGCCTTTGTGCAAAAGTTTACATAGCACAATTCATGTTAAGTATATTTAAGACACTCTTCTACTTATCAGTGATAAGTGTGCTACAATAGTGAACCAAAGTAGACCCAAATTTCTACCCTTGTAGAATTTATAATTTAGTGGTGAAGAGGCAGACAATAAACATATATGCACATATATATAAAAGGAGGCTTGAAAAAGTTTGTGGAAAAATGGAATTTTTCACAAACTTTTTGAAGTTCATATTTATGCGGTTGTTATGTTCTGTAGATTCAATTCAAACTCAGTATGACCCCTAGAGCAGATTACAACTGCCTGTGAGAGTTTCTAAGTCTGTAATCTCTATGGGAACAGACTGCCACATCTTTTTTCCCCAAGAATGCTGTTGTTTGAACTGCCGACACTTTGTTAGCAGCCAAACACTTAGCCACTGTCAACCAGCATTCCACATATATAAAGGGGTTTCAAAAATTTCATGCATAGGCTCTCTACTCCTCCCCGTTCGACAGGCAGCCGTAGCTTCTCTTGCAGTACCAGCCGCATCCCTGAGACAGGATGGTGAAGGTCGGAGTCAACGGATTTGGCCATATTGGGCGCCTGGGCACCAGGTCTGCTGTTAACTCTGACTGCCAAAGTGGAGGTTGTTGCCATCAATGACCTCTTCATTGACCTCAACTACATGGTCTACATGTTCCAGTATGATTTCCACCCATGGCAAGTTCAATGGCACTGTCAAGGCTGAGAACAGGAAGCTTATCATCAATGGGAAACCCATCTCTATCTTCCAGGAGCGAGATCCCACCAACATTAAGTGGGGTCATGCTGGTGCTGAATATGTTGTAGAGTCCACTGTTGTCTACACAACCTGAGAGGGCTGGGGCTCACTTGAAGGGTAATGCCAAAAGGGTAACCATCTTTGCCCCTTCTGCTGATGGCCCCATATTTGTGATGGGTGTGAACCACAAGAAAGATGACAACTCCCTCAAGAGTGTAGCAATGCCTCCTGTACCACCAACTGTTTGGCCCCCATGGCCAAGGTCATCCATGACAATTTTGGCATTGTGGAGGGACTCATGACCACAGTCCATGCCATCACTGTCATCCAGAAGACTGTGGATGATGGCCGTGGAGCTGCCCAGAACATCATCCCTGCATCTATCGGTGCTGCCAAGGCTGTGGGCAAGGTCATCCCTGAACTGAATGGGAAATTCACTGGCATGGCCTTCCATGTCCCCACTCTCAACGTGTCTGTCGTGGACTTGACCTGCCGCCTACAGAAAGATGCCAAATAATGATGGCACCCAGAAAGTGGTGAAGCAGGCATCAGATGGACCCCTAAAAGGCATCCTGGGTTACACTGAAGACCAGGTTGTCTCTTATGACTTTAACAGTGACACCCACTCTTCCAACTTTGATGCTGGGGCTAGTATTGCCCTCAACGACCACTTTGTCAAGCTAATTTCCTGGTATGACAATGAATTCAACTACAGCAACAGGGTGGTGGATATTATGGTCCACATGGCCTCCAAAGAATAAGAGCCCCCTGGACCACCAGCCCCAGGAACAGCACTAGAGGAAAAGAAAGGCCCTCAGTTGCTGGGAGTCCTTAGCGTAACTCTAATCCCCCTACACACTGAGAAGCTCCATCATCAGTTTCCATCCAGACCCCCTGGAGAAAGGGAGGGGCTTAGAGAGCCCAGTCTTGTCATGTACCATCAATAAAGTACACTATCCAGCCACACAAAAAATTTCATGAGTAAATGGAATGAAAAAATAATGGAGTATTTCACAAACTTTGTGAAGCTCCACTGTGTATATATGTATGTATTTGTATGGAGTATGTCTGTGTATTTGTATGTAAGTATATCCAGATGGTGGTAATGGCTATGGAAAAAATAAGACTAGGGTGTGATTTCAAAATATTGCATTAAATTACATCATACTTTTACACAGAGTAATCAAGGAAGATCTCACTGATACTATGACATATAAGAGGAAAGAGCAGAAACTGGTAGAGGTAAGATATAGTATCCATGGAGATATCTTGTAGAAGAATATTCCAAGCAGAGTAAACAATAAAGGAAGGAGAACGAAGCAGAAGAAGCAAGA